TTTATTTATAAAAAATATCTAAAAACAAAATATTCAAATTAAACAGAAATTGTTTTTTCATAGGTACGTTTAGATTAAAAGAATATAGGGAAAAGAAAGATATAGGAAGAAAAAAATTATTTATTTGATTATTAAGAAATTTAAAAAAGAAAAAGAAAAATAATTTACTTTATTTTATTTTTTAAAAATTTAATTACTTATTTTTTTTTTGATGAATCAAAAAATTTAATTACTTATTTAAATTAAAAAAAAAAAGAAGATATAATTCCTCTTTCCACCCCTCCTCTCTCCTTAACCCCAAACACACACATGGAAAGTTTTTAATATCCCAATTTTGAATTTCCTAAATTTGTTAAAATTAGAAGAAATTAACAGAACAAGAAAAATAAATTACAAACAGGAAATTTTTTAGAAAAGCAAACCTGTAAGAGCTGTTTGGCTAGGTCAATAGAGATAAGCCCTGCACTGCAACCCATACCGCCAAGATTATAGCTCAAGATATTCCCCCTGAGCTTGTAACGGTTCACCACCATGGCGGAGAGCGACGGCGTTGGATTGAACAGGCTGCAGTTCACTATCAGTATCCCTATGTCCTTCGCCTTCACCCCAGTTTTCTCGAGCAACTGATCAATGGCTCCGAACATCACCATCTCTGCCTCCTTCCTCGCCTCCGCCATGCATGGATTTGGCGGGACCCTCAGCACCGCCTCAGGCAAATACGTCTTCTGCCCCAGACCGGACCGTTCCAGGATCTTCTTCTGGAAAGCCAAATTCTCCTCCGTGAACGACCCCGTCAGACCGGACCGCTCCATGAAGATCTCCCTCGTGCATATCCGCTCTGGCTCCGGCTTGTAACACGCGAAGTTGACCAAATAAACTTTCCTCGGCCGGCTCGTGAAATAGAGGGTAGCCAAGAAAACTAGAAGACACGAACACAGGGTTACGGAGACAAGATTGAACTTGAGCTGGTCCCAGAGCTGGACGATGTCCAGGACGGTGAGGGTGGAGAGATGAGCGGAGGCGATTCCGAGGATCGGAACCAGAAGGAGGTACATGGCGTTGGAGATCAAGTAATGGTAACCCAACTTCACATACTTCAGTCTTACTGATAAAAGAAAATTGGGGAGATTATTCCTTCTTCTCCCTTCAGCATCCGGAGCTTCCACCTGAACTTGTTCAGGCTGTGGGTTTTGGCCCCTCTGCTCATCTGCCATGTGGAATCCCGAAACAAATTAAGAAAAAAACGACACTCTTGTATAAGACAGGATCAGATGTAAAATAAAAAAACCAGCCGAATGAATAGAAAAGAAGGGGAGTACGTGGTAAAAGGTTGTGAATGGAGGAAATTTTGGAGAGAAAATTTGATGGGAAAAGTGTGGCAAAAAGACAGATGTGGATTGGGAATGATGGAGAGGTTATGAGGATTTAAAGTGTGAGAGAGGAGATACAGGAGGATGCAACTACCCCAACCGCCACAGCATTGAATTCTGCCAACTAGGAATTAAGCGGGAGTTATTATTTCTTAAAAAAAAATGTTGAAAAGTCAAAAAAAATGAAAAGTAATATATATATATATATGAAAAATTGAATATTAATCCCAACTCTTAAAAAAATTTAAAGTTAATTTTAAATTATATCATTTTATTTAATTAAGATTTATTTATATATAAATTTTATATATTATATTTACATAAAATTTTAATTATTTATCTATTTATTTTTAATTATTTAAATTTATTTTTTTTATAAAAAACGTCATAATAAATTTTAATAATTAAAAATAAAAAATAAATTATTAAAATTTTATATAAATATAATATATAAAACTTATAAGTAAGTAAATTATTATTCTATTTTTTATAAGCTTTAGTTTGGTTGACGTTCAGATTTGGGGGCATGGGTATTAAGGAATTTCAGACTTACCGCTATGGAGGTGTGAATTTAGAACATATGTCGGTCAAAGGTGTGAGATGTTGGTGAACTAAATTAGGATCGTACAGTATCACACGCCATGGCATGGAAAGAGGAAGGAAATTATGGGCCATCTACTTCGTCACTTGATCACGAGTTCTTTTCTTTTATTAATTGGTTTTTGTTTTAGGGTCAGAAATTGTTTTAGAAGATTGATTCACACGTTTGAGATTAAATTCCATCCTTCAATCTTGTGCAAAAATACATCATTAATTTATGCAATGAAAGGATTGCGGATATGCTTAAAATATGTTCTTTCAAGTAGAGATTTTGTTATAGCCCACAGGATAGGGATCAAAAAACTGGTAAAATCTGAAGTTCCTCATCTTCTTGGTGGTAACACGGTCCATATGTTATTCAAGGAACTCTATTATTCATAATACACAACAGTGAGATAAGGGGAGGGCTTTTGATCTAATTCAAATGAGGACTTTTGCTTGGATAAGGGGGAAGATTACTAACACTATGTTTCCCTTCTTTTACTGATGCAATTTTCCTAGTTTATGCGTTTAAGAAGTTACTA